GAGTACGATTTTTGATTCATTATTTATGTTATGTTCTGTTATAAAACATTTACATTTTACACCATTGGTTTTTTTATTCCGTTAATTAAACTGTTTTTAGGGATCTTCGTAGACCTCTATAGATCATGATACTTTCACATCAATGTCACGATTGCAAGTGAAATTTCAAACTGCCAGATTTGACTAACATTTAATATCCCTCTACTATATCAATAGATCATGCATCCAACGGGCGAAGAAAATATATTGAATTGATCAGTTTGAGAGCATTACTAGATCCTCATTACTAAATTCACATGGACAGTTATAGCAGCCAAAAGGGAGTATTAAAGATTAGGACTTGAAAGTAAATTTGGACCAACAAATAATCTTGTTCGGATACCGAAGGCGGCTTAAATCAAATTTTCCATCAGGGAATGATTATCAAACGGATAAAAACTATGTTTCGACTACAATATTGCATTCTCCGAGCCAGCCTCAACTGAAAGGTCTGTTGTATCGGACATATGGCAGATCAAATCTAGGAACCTGATGAATTGAAACCTATTCTTCCTATCTTATACAATTTTGTTTCAAATTTTTCCAAAACTCAATTAACAGCTTCTCAGGCGCGTGAACAGGAAAACGAGATGTTTTTGTTGATTCACGTTTATCTCGTGCTCGCGAAGAAGCATGTATCAAATCGATGAAAGATAGACTCAGGTTGAGTAAATTTGGAATCAAATTCAATCGGCAGAGGAACTCATAATAACTATATCGTGATGTCTTGGTTTTTCCAGAATCGATTTGATAACTATGAACTTTGTTTGGACCGTTTTCTTTCATTAAGGCCGATGTTTTCTCTTGCATTGTCACGCAATATAATTTCAGAGCATGTCGAAGGAGTTGTCACCAATTGAACGCTGTACTTGTCACATGGTTTCTCATGACCAAAATTAAACAATCTGAACCTGTCTCTAATGAGCGTAAACCCGGGAAATATAATTAGTCAGTAAAAAAAAACCTATGGAATCGATCAAAAAGTAAACAACAACAAAACAAGAGAAGACAAATCTGAGATTACATGAAACAAGATTACAAATATTTATACTGATAATGGAGAAGAAAGCGACGAAAACATTTAACTACCGTGGCTATAACAGGTTTTAGCGAAAGTGCTACTGTTATCAATAGCGCTTTATACTATTACTAAAAATAGATTTTGTTACGTGATAACCTGAGGCCCCCCGCACAGACTCAGACAAACATTGCGACCAGCTTAAGGAAGTGTATGAGCGAGAGCTGTAAAATTAAAACAAAAGGACGGAAAATTTCGTCAAAAAATGACTTGGCGTTCTAAAAGGAAGCGGCATGGTTGGAACCAAACACTGTTGTTGGGGTGAGTGTAAGACAGACTCAAGATATGCAGATAAATGACCGAAATCACTCAAAGAGTGAAAGGAATCAGGGAAGAAAGTATTCATTCCTTCCCCAAAACCTTCGCGAGACATGGCAAAGTGCAAGCGTTGGCTTGTTCGCGTGAGTTTTTTACGGAGAAAAACACGACAAGAAACACTTAAGTTATATTTGTGCTCTTCACTGGCCCGGCGAAAAAGGTCTAACAG